TTACACTTGGTGCTGATGATACGACGCCTGTGTGAAGCCAAGATTACAACCCCTGCCGGGACGGGATTGCCAGGACCCGTCCAGGGATGGGACAGTCTGGTTGTGGAGCAGGCCCTCTGCAGAGATCCTTCCCTCCTGTAGCCACTGGCATCTCCAGCCTCTGCCTGGGGCTCAAGACCCACAGCAAGGCTTGGAATGCAGCAGGCTGCCACTCTCTCCCTGTGGGTTTCTCATGAGCCTCCACATCCTCGGCTGTAAAATGGGCTAGTGACAGCATTCCCTGAAGGACCACACTACATAACTTGCAGAAGCTCTCTTGCACAGTGCTCTGTAAATACCAGTTGTTTATTTTTTTATTTCTACAGTATAGACGTCCATGATGTCTCTGTACATGTGCGGGACAGAGGAGGACAACTTTCCAGAGTCAATTCTCTTGTTCTACCTTTCTACCTTTAGGTGGGCTCTAGGATCAAATTTAGAGCATCAGGTTTGCATGGTGACCTAGTCAGGGTTACTAGTACTGGGATGAAACACCATGACCAAGCAACTTGGGGAGAAAGGGTTTATTTAGTTTACACTTCCACATCACTGTTCATCACTGAAGGGAGTCAGGACAGGAACTCAAACAGGGCAGGAACCTGGAGGCAGGAGCTGATGCAGAGGCCATGCAGAGGTGCGGCTTATTAGCTTGCTCCCCATGGCTTGCTCAGCCTGCTTTCTTCAGAAACCAGGACCACCAGCCCAGGGATGGCACCACCCACCATGATCTGGGTCCTCCCCCATCAATCACTAATTAGGAAAATGCCTTACAGCCCAACCTTAAGGAGGCATTTTCTTTTTTTCCTTTATTTTTATTTTTTTTTATTTTATTATCATTTTTTTTTTAAGCCTACAGCACCCGGTCTCCCATCCAAGTACTAACCAGGCCCGACCCTGCTTAGCTTCCGAGATCAGACCAGATCGGGCGCGCGTTCAGGGTGGTATGGCCGTAGACGGCATTTTCTTAAATGAGGTTCCCTCCTCTCACATGACTGACTCTAGCTTGTGTCAAGTTGACATAAAACTCTCCAGCACAATTGACACCTTGTCAACTTGACACATGAACATCACTGTAAAGCCAGCCACAGCCTTCCCTTTCTTGTTCATCCCTAAGATCACACATTAAAATCAACATCGCAATATGAACAACTTTACAGACTTAACCAAGTCCCACAGTCTTACAAATTCAAACACTGCATACGGCAAACACCCTTACCCACTGAGCCATCCTGCCAGGCCCTAGGCTGTTCCTATTATGACTCTTCTGGTAACTGTGGTTATTACCACCCCAAAAGGGAGAGGGCTTTTCATTCACCTTTTGGGAAGAAAATAACGAGAATAACCTCTTTGTTATTTTCATTAAGTATCTAAAAGTAAGTAGAAACCCACTGTTCTTGAGACATTTGGCTGGAATGTGAATGCGTCTCCCACCCGAGCCCCCTGGAAAATTAGTCACTGGACGTGGATTCATTCAAGCAGAATGTGCATTGTCTACTATGTGCTGGTTACCATTCTAGATACTGGGGAGCGACGTCCCTCCTGTCATGGAGCTTATCCTAGTGTGCCTCAGCAGCCAAGCCAGCAAACAATAAACAGACAAATGAGCCGGGCGGTGGTGGCGCACGCCTTTATTCCCAGCACTCGGGAGGCAGAGGCAGGCGGATCTCTGTGAGTTCGAGGCCAGCCTGTGTCAAGTGCCCATAGAAGATGAGAGACTACCAAGTCTGGGGCCACCCTTTACTGTAATACTCAGAAACAAGGAAGCGTCTTCCACGTGTCTGGTATCCCCTCCTCCAAAGCATCTACAAAAATGGCAGTCCCGGGTCTCTCTTCAGCTTCTGGTGTTCATGAAAGGATGTTGAAGCTGGAGTATGTGCCTGGCCCTCAAGTACCCGGAGAGGCTGGTATGAACTCAAAAGGAAGAGGCTCCTGGCTGAGTCTTTGTGGGTCTGATAGTCACTACATAGATCCCAAAGTAGGCTCGGCCTGTCCCCACAGAGGCAGTGTGCACACCCCTACCCCTCCTCACCCCTCCCATCACTAAATCATCCCTGAATTAATCAAAGAGCTCGCACTGGTCCGAACTCACCCGAAGCCTCCTCCAGCGGCCACTTTGTGTTCAGTAGATTAATTGCAGCTGGGGGAGGGGAAGGACTCCATTTTTAGAAAATCATTACTTTCGGAAAGAGAGGGGGGCACTTCTGGCTGAGGGAAAAGTGCTGAGCTGGCAGCTGGGGCCCTGCTGCTGCTCCAGCGCCAGGAAACCCGGACTGTACTGTGCGGGCTGTTCTCTGTGCGGGCTGTTCTCTGCGCAGGCTGCATCCACGCTGCCTTCCTGAAGCCGGGCCACCCTGGCTCTCAAGCCAGGGCTTCTGCTGGCCTTGCTTCCTGCCTGGCCTATGTTCAACAGTTTGATGGCATCCTGAGCAGATGGGTCTCCCCGGGATTGTCCATCCCCTGCTGTCTCTTACTGTCTTGCTCTCTCAGGCCCCTTCTTGTGCACACCGCTCTGAGGACAGTCAACCCTGTCTGCAGCTCTAGAGGAGGATGAAGGTTGGGGGACTCTTAATCTCCACTCCCTCAAATCGATGACTTAATAGATTCCACTGAATGAAACTGCTGTGTCTGTGAATCAAAATTAGCAATCCCACATGGCTCAGCCAGCTCTTTGCATATATTTTCTCAATCATCCACACTGTGGCCTCGCGAGGCAGGTAGAATGCCCATTTTGTTTCAGAAATTGTCAGAAGTGTTGGGTGACTCACCCAAATGTGTGCTCAAACCCAGCTGTGCTTGGTTCTTAAGGCTGGAACTGTGAGCCCTAGCCTATTTCTTACCATATCTTATACCCTACGTGCCTTCAACACACCTGGAATGGCAGGGGGCTTGTGCTTTCTTTGATCAACAGAGAGAGACGTGTCACACACACACACACACACACACACACACACACACACACACACACACACACACACACACACCGTCACCTCTGTGCAAATCAGCCTCAGGAGCAAGCTGTGTAGCCTAGAGTGGGCTGGGGCCACCCATTTACCTCCCAAAGAATAGACTCTGGGTCAGGAAAGTCAGCCAGCATCCTCTGTGGTGTGGCATGATCTTGGGAGAGTCCTTGGTGTAAACAAACTTTGCAAATCCCGGCCCCTGGGCTTAGCAGTCAAATGGGCCTATCTTTTCAAACTAGAATTTACGTAGGAAAACACATACACCTGCTTTGATCACGTTAACCGTGTCGTACCCAGAGATTAGAAAGCATATAAATCAGACCTGAACTTCCCAGTGGGAGGGGGAACCCCAAGAAGTTGCCTGCTCTACAAAGGGGGTGGCAGTGTGTAGCTACAGAGAGGTTGGTTGTAGAGACTGTATGGGACAATCCTTAATTGAAACATCAGAACACTGCCTAGCAAGGGCAGAACCCAACCAAGTATTCTTCTTCTCTGGCTACATTGACGCTAATACAACTCTGCCGGACCCCGCCAGCTCCAAGCCAGAGCATCCCTTCAAGTGAGGCTGGAAGACGGGATACTGGCATCTGTGGCCAATGCCAAAAACCCAGCCCTGGGCACACTGACTGCAGGTGGTAACAGCTTCCACCTAACGCCAGGCTTCTCGACAGCCTCCCTACCCGGTCCGCCACCCCACTAGAATCCACATGCCATATCCAATTCCAGCCTCCTTCTAGAGTTTCTGCCTCCTCCATCCAGAGGCCCTGCTCCCACAGCAGAGCCAGTGGAAGTGAATTACTGGACTCCCGCCACACAGGATTACATCCCGTAAACATCTTAGTGATCACACTTGCCAGTTAACCCCCTTAGCCTCCCCACACCTCCATTCTTGCAGAGGGTCCTGGGAAAAATTAAATGGTTCACCACCCTACTTCAGTGGTCCTCAGCCTTCCTAATACTGTAACCCATTAATTCAGTTCCTCATGTTGCAGTGACCCCAACCCTAAGATTATTTTGTTGCTACTTCATAGCATACTGTTAGGAATTGTAATGTAAACATCTAGTAAGCAGGATATCTGATTTGTGACCCCCTTGGGGGCCACACCCCATAGGTTGAGAACTGCTGCCCTACATGGTTTAGCACTACGCCTGGCATCCACTGGAACCTTCAGTATTTAAAGTGACTATTGGGGCTGGAGAGATGGCTCGTCAGTTTAGAGCATTTGCTGCCCTCAGAGGTCCTGCGTTCAATTCTCAGCACCCACCCACACGGTAGCTAACTACCTACAACTCCAGTTCTAGGGGAATCTAAGACTCTCTTCTGACCTCCTTGGACATGATGCATGCACGTGGTATATACATATGTATACACTGAATCTCATCTAATAAAACGTGGACAAAAAATCTCAGCTCAGCTTATGCAGCCCAAGTACTTAGAAGGAGTTCCCAGCAAGAGGCTCAGGATGAGCTGGACCACAGGCCTGGAGAAGCTGTCATGAATATCCCGACAGCTGAGAGTGAAGTCTGGATCCAGAGGGAGGGAGGTGGGGGCTTCATCCCTCTGATCACTATGGGACACTCAACCTCTACCACTTCCTGGGGCCCCTGGCTCAGTGTGTAATTGGCACGAGCCAAGGGAACCTGGTTCTTGAGGGTGTACCCGCTCTTCTGCCACTAACCCCTTCTCCCCAGTGACACACCCTTCTCCCTAACTCCACCAACTTCCAAAAGCCCAGCCTAGGGCTCCCCACGCCCCCCCTCCCACACATCATTTCCCAATATACAGTTAGGAAACCTGGAATCACACCAAACAAGAGGGTGCCTGTGTGTGTGTGTGTGTGTGTGTGTGTGTGTGTGTGTCGGGGGTGGGAGTGGGTGTGGGGATGTCTCCAGATCTGGGAACAACTACTACCCAGAGCCTTTATTCCCCGGCCCATTCACCTTTGATAAACCTCCCAGCCTCCCCCCAAGCAAAAGAAAAAGCAGCTGAACAACATGGGATGAAGTATACATTTTAAAAATTGTTTAATGGAACATAAACTCCTTTAGAAAAACATTCAGCTAGGTGATAACACCCATAGAAAAAAACACCAATCTTGTGTTTATCTTTTTTAATTTGGCATGTTATTTGCATTTATATTAAAGCAAAGTGCATCTTTTCTTTATTTTTCTTGTTTATACACATTGCACAATACATAAATAATGATGCTTATAAAACGTCTTTATATTTACAAGTAATAATATATTTATATATAACATAAAATACATTTCTTTAATAAATCTCAGCTTTTTTTTAAGGAGTCCTTTCTCTCTCAAAGCACTACAATGCTAAATTTCCAATGAGAATGCTTCTCTTGTTCATTTAAACCTTTGTAGTTAGAAAAATAGCTTATGTTAAAGTCTAAACATGCTCATTGAGCTAAGAACAGTGTCAAAGTATCATACGAGTGTATGAGTCGAGAGAAGAGCTGGGAGTCAGCCTAGGATGGTACCTTCGTTACGACAGACCACGCCCTTCTGGGTGGGAAGGGGGCCACTGAGCAGTTCCCTCCCCGGGATGCCCCTCCATGGTCTACAGAGCTCAGCACACAGGCTAAGCTTGGGATGGGGTGCTGAGCTGACTTTCCACAATCTGGGAGAAACCTGATGAAAAACCACAGCAGGGGACCGGCTGAAGGTGGGCCCAAGGGTCCTGGGTTAGCAATACTGTGACCGGGCTGTCCCTGCAGCCCACGGGAAGCCCATCTCAAGAGAGATCCAGGAGCAGATGGCCAAAAAAAAGACAGCTACGACAATGGCAGCGGGTGACAGGCAGTGGGACGGGGATGAAAACAATTGGTTCTGGTTCAGCCTCTAGCAGGCTGGCTTCTCAGAAGCCCGTGGATAGGCCCGTGTCCTAAAAGGGGGGGAGGCAGGGCAGGGGCTTCGGCGGGCCGGGGCGAAGCTTGGCAGCTGCTGCGACACCTGCTGCCAGTCTACCCAGGTACTGCCTCTGCCCCACTGAGCATGTCCAAAGGGCGCGAGAGACACACAGCTTGAGACTGCAGCCTCTCAGCCGGGGACATCCATAAGGAACACACACAAAAAAGCATTTCCCCCATCTGCCGTGCATGCACACCCCTACGCGCTCAAAACATCCACTCCTGATAATGCTGATCCGAAGGGGAGGCAGGCAGCACCCCACTGTCAAACACCACGTTTGACAGTGCTGACTTCTGCTTCCCGTTTTCATACGGGGAGGTGTCCTGTCAACCACACCCACCACCTCAAAAAAACAAACAAACAAACAAAAAACCCAAAAAACAAACAAACAAAAACTCATCATAAGCTATTTCTCCAAAAACAAGACAAACAGAACAAACACACAAGAACGAGAAGGGGGAAGAAAAAAAAACCACACAAAACAATCAACAAATGTAACAACAAAACCGACCAAAGAGTTTGCATGACAAGCAAGCACTCGGAGGGAAAGGTTAGCAGCAAGTAGTTTGAACGGTGGCCTGCTCGGCTCACACTCCGTCCTGTCCTCTTCTCCCCACACAACTACCGGCTGTTGAAGATGACCTCCAGCCAGCACGGGCAGCTGCTGATGAACTGGCGGGTGTAGCACTGGCCCCAGCCCTTCACGAAGCTGATCTGCACCGTGAAGCCCGTCCACGGCTGCTGCATGAACTCATGGTCGTTGGGCCGCTGCAGGCTATAGGCTTTCTCGTAGTCGAAAGCCTTGATGGAGAAACCAGGGAACACCTTGTGCACCAACAGCGTCCTGGAGTCCGGGTTGTCCAGTGTGGCGGACTTGATGAAGATGGGGTAACTGCTACGGTTGTACACCCACACGCCATCCACTTCCCGCGTCAGCTGGATGCCACAGCCGATCTTGCTCCGCACTTTTTGCACCAGCTGACTCTTGTTGTCCGAATTGAGCTGTCCGAGGCAAAAGCCATTCCCCTGAGGTAGATCATAGAAGATATCCAGGGAGGGCTCTTGGACACAGTAGAGCCTCCCGACTCGCGTCTTCTCCTCCCAGTATGCCACCACGCACCAGTGTGACCGATCCCCAGGTTCCAGAAGAAGTTGGGAATCTACAAAAACAAAATGGCAGACATGAGTTGGTGGGTGGTGGAGACCCAGGTTCTTTCCCCTCCTCAAGTCAAAACACATACAGACACACCATTTGTACACATGCTCTTGAGTCCCCAGAACCAGTACAAAACAGGAAGAGGAAGCGAGGGGAAGCCTGGACTCAACACAGGATCTGCCATGCTACTGGGGACAATACACCTTAATCCACCTTTGGGGGGGGGGGGGGTTTGCTACTGTTGTTCCCAATCTCCTTCCATCCAATCAGGAATCCACAGCATCAACACCTATGCCGACTTAGCCCCGAGAACCAGACACTGAGACCCTTGATAACTTGGTTGGGGAAAAAAAAAAAGGCCTCAGAAACAGCCTAGAGTTACAGCTGCTTCCCATGGACGGAACCTTGAGTGACAGCTCCCCTAGTGTGCTCCCCCCCAACCCCCCACCCCCGGGGTCCTGGATGATAGAAGTTGGCCTACTAGGTGGCCCGCACCCTCTGCAGCTGGCTAGTTCTAGCTAGTCACCCAGTTCTCACATCAGAGCCTTGTTCATAGGGGGGAGTCAGCTGGTTTAAAAAAAATAAAATAAAAAGATGCGGGCGGCTCCAGGGTTTCACAACAAAAAAGCCATCTCCCTGACAGGAACCAACTCTCTCTCTGTGTGTGACAGCCGAGTTAGCTCAAGTTCAAATGCCAAATTACAGCATGCAGGTGGACATCAGCCTTAAACCACGGCCGGCCCAGAGAGAAGATGCCGTGTCTGAAATAAATGTCACCATCCTTGAGGTACCCCTTCTCTGCCAGTCCACCTCGCCACCCCCCAGGTGCCTCCCCAATCCAGTTTGACCCTGCACGGCCCACACTGCCCCTGGTGGTAGTGTGTGTGTGTGTGTGTGTGTGTGTGTGTGTCTGTCCCCGGCACAGGCCACCACAGCCTGGAAGCCTGGGGTGAAGCTGGTGAGGCGCTCTTCCTAAACAATTGTTCTGAGAACTTTAAAGGGGGGGGCTATGGGGCGGAGCGTCGCCCCCCACCCTGCACTGACATTCTGCTACCTCCCTTAACTCTAGCCCCGAGAACAGGCCTCAGACTGGGGACTATAAATCTCCCCAGCCCCCCCGCCAGGCTGCAGGAACGCTGTGGTTTGCGGCGGCAGGGTGGAGACCGGAAGTCTTTGTATTTGTTAACAGAAATGGGGAAAGGCAAGAGGGGAAGGCGCCGGGGCAGGGACACCAAGGCTGCCCTGGAAGCCCCCTGCCTCTCTCCCGCTTGGGTAGGTTCGGTGGGCCCTGAGCATGGATCTGTGTGTGGGGAGATGTGTGGCCTTTGAGGCCTTTGTTTCAGGGCTCAGAGTGATAAGGGCTGTCCCCATGCAGGGGCAGGACCAAGAAGCCTTGTTGGTAACCCAGGGCAGCTTGGTACATCACTCCATTCCAACTTTTAGAGAGGCATGTTAGGGCCTGGGATCCAGTCAGCTCCACTGCCCATTTTTTTTTTTTTTTTTTAAAGCAGCAGTCAGTTTTGGATGGGACATCCCAGGAGTGAGTCTGTACACTTGTACAGATTGAAGCCCACAAGGTAGCCACATACACACAAATCCTGGGCGGCTGTCCCTACTACAGACACCCCCCACATACACACACTGGCCTCCCCCCAATCCATGCCCAGTTAACACACAAAGGGGATGCCAAGACGGAGGGGAGTAGTGGATTCCTTTTCCCTGAATCCCAACGCCACTGCAAATCAACACCGCAAGCCCTACCTACCCGGTGTCCCCTGCCCCCACTGCCATGAAGCAAGCCCCCTCCCCCAAGTACACAAAACTGCATGGGTCTTGAGTGGGTGTCTACGATGGGGTGTCTGTGCCTGCACGCACATTAGAAAACATGAAAAGCAGGAGAGGGACAAGGGCTCTGCAGAAAGGTGACTCATCGGGCATTAACTTGTTTCTGCAAAGTATCCATCAACGGCTAATAAACTCGGGAGCCCTGGCAGTCTTTGAACTTTCTTGCAGTGGGAGCTCGGCTCTCAAGGCCACACCAACGACCCCTAACGACCAATGAAGTCAGACACTTCTGGCCCCAAGAGTGCTCCCAAAGTCTCCCCAAGAAACCTGGCCAGGGACAGGGAACCTCGGAGAGTGGCTGGAAAGAAGGAAAAGAGGTTGGGGAGACTCTCAGAGGGGCCTCACAGGGCTTTGTTTCATGCAGCCCAGCCTCACTGAAACCTGGCACCAGACAGCGAGGGTAGGGGGAAGGGAATGAATGAAGGGAAGGGGAGGAGGAGGGGAAGGAGGAGCCTGGGATCAAGTTGCTCCCTGTGCCAGGCCTGCTGGCCTCTCTTCAGCAAGGGGTGGGGGTCCTGTCTGCCAGGCGAGCCTCTAGGGCAGAGCAAACGGGGAGAGGCTGGGGCCTGAGGCCTGTGGGGGAGAGGAGGCAAGGAGGGGAAGCATGCCTGGGTTGTTTTTTTTTTTTCATCTGCACAACCAGTCTACCCAGCAATTTGCAGCCAGACATCCCCAGGAAAAAGCCCTTTTCTGTTGAGGTTAATGGCCCGGCCCAGATAAATGGCAGTGTGGATCTCCCCTCAACGCACCACAGGGAGACAGACCCCTGCTTGGCCCCCCCCCCTCAGTCTCCATCCTCACACAGGGCAGCTCTACGCACCCCCCCCCCCTGCTCCTGCCCCAGACTGTTTTGCACACTCCTGCAAAACCTCAGCACACATCCCAATGCTGAGGCCATACCTTCTGAGAACCCAGAGCACCGCCATACAATGGTGGGACCCAGGTGTCCACCTTGGCCCCAATACGGGCTTGGGCAGGCTCACTTACGAGAAATCAACCAACATCATTTTCTTAGGAACAACTACCCGCATTGGGCCACAGCCCACACAGGGCCCCTGACAACAGGTTAGGGTAGGTATTCCTCTCCTAGAGTTTCCCAGGACACATGGACAGGGCCTTCGAAGTCTTGGTCACCCCAAGGAGGGGGGCGAGTACAGGAAACCCAGCTCTGGCCTCAGTGCTCATATTCCCAACACGAACCCACTCACCCTCGTCAATTTCTCCCAGCTTTATAACCTTTCCGGTGTTTTCAACTTTTCCTCCCCAGAAAACTGTGCAGGGGCTTGTTTTTAAACTGCGCGTGTTCATTTTAAAGCATCCAAAAGAAAAGCTACATTGTAAAAAGCTCACTAATCAGATGCCTGCTCACAATATTTTATTACAGCTGAGGGAATTTTTGGAGCAATACCAGAAAAATGCTGAATCTGCCGAAAATTCCATTAAGGTGTTTGCCCCTCCCCTTCCACATTTTCCTTAATGCATAAAATCCTCCCTTTAAGGGGAGCAGGGACTGAGAAGGGGGGAGGTTTACAGTGTCTGCAGAGGGGAAGACCACTGAGCAAGGACAGCTACTACCCCTGGTCACCAATGAACACCCCAGACAAACACTTGTAGACCAGAGACTCGTGAACAACTCTCATACTTTGGGCCTCAAAGTATGGCACAGGGTGACTAGACCTCAAGGCGACAAGTTGGGAACAGAAGAAATCTCATCATTTAAAAATGTTTAGGGCTGGGCCAGGCATTGGTGGTGGACGCCTTTAATCCCAACATTTGGGAGGCAGACGTAGGCAGACCTCTGTGAGTTCAAGGCCAGCCTGGTCTACAAGAGAGAAAGAGCTCTGGGACAGCCATGGCTACAAGGTTTTCGAAACCGTCTTGAAAAACCAAATCAATATATACAGGGCTGTCAGATGGCCCACCAGGTAAAGGTGTCGGCAACCAAGTCTGACAACCAAGTTTGATCCCTGAAACCCAGATGGCGGCAGGGGAGAACCAACTGTCCCCTGTCCCCTGACTTCCACAAGTACGACAGCAAATCTGTGCTCCCCACAATAGGTAAATAAATATGGCAAGTAAATAAATGAAACTTGAAGGTGTGAAGTTTGGGGTCTCCAGCTCACTGAGCCAAACATGAGACAATGGGGTCACCCAGAAACATCAACGGGATTCTCATATCACATATGACGATGGTGCCCACACACAGAACCGGTCCTGATGGGGAGAGGGGTCCTGGAATTCGGACTTTCTGTGGTGACAGAAACCAGCTTCAAGAATAAAATCACAATGGACAGGGCCACAGGAACTGGCACTCTAAGGTTAACTGTGCCCAACTGCCAACACATGGGGTGGCTGGAATTGCAGACGGCAAAGGGGGGGGGGGGTCCTCGCCCACTCTCACCTCTGTGAGGCGCTTGGATTATAAAGTGGTATTTCTCTGCCAAAACCCAAGGGCATGATGGCCTGTGAGCGCCTCCCGCTCGGTCAATCCAAACAGGAAGGGTACCTAAGGAGCAACATTGCTCCCAAAGGCCTTCCCAAGCAGGTCAGGGGCAAACAAAGGGCAGACAAGTAGACATAAAGGCTCAGCCCAGCAACCTGGAACACAAACACTGATGACCGCGCCCTACCAGCCGCAGGTCAAGGGTCCTCCCTCCCAGGGACCCAAGCACCACCAGCAGCAGTTCTACATCAAAGGTTGACAGCACACCATTGCCCTGCTCCTCCCCATTAAAAAGCTGGCCATTCTATTGAGTTCACTCGAACCATTCCAGGACCAACAAAAGAGGGGTCCAACACCCAATCGAGCGAGGCTCATCTTGCACCATTACAACAAGGATGCTCAGCCTCCTTCCCAGGAGGCAAAGGATCAAACGCCACAGCCAATAGGGAAAGCTACCTTGTTCCTTGAGTGGGAACCTGCCAAGCTTGCAAGCTAAGTGAGAACCTGAGTAGAAATACTCAGGCCTGGCGGTGGTGGCACACGCCTTTAGTCCCAGCACTTGGGAGGCAGAGGCAGGCAGATCTCTGTGAGTTCGAGGCCAGCCTGGTCTACAAAGTGAGTTCCAGGAAAGGCGCAAAGCTACACAGGGAAACCCTGTCTCGAAAAAACCAAAAAGAAAAAGAAAAGAAGTACTCAGGAGTAGAAATACAACCCTG